ACTCCAGAAGCATAATCCACAAAACAAATAATTGATAAGCCAAACTTCATCGAAATTAAAAACCTGTACAGTTCAAGAGACACACACTGCTGACAGAAGGAAAAGACACACCATATACTGGGAGAAAATATTTACAAATCCTGGATCTGATAAAGGATTGGTATCCAGAAAATGTAAAGAATTCTTACAGTTCACTCATAAGATACATGGCTCAATTTAAAAATGGGCCAGATTTGAACAGCTGTTTCACCAAAGATACAGCCAACAAGGACGTGAAAAGATGCTCCAAATCTTTAGTGGTCAGGAAAACACAAGTTAAAACTCCAGGGAGATGCCATTTCACATCCACTAGAACGGCTCTAATCAAAGACAGACAACTGCAAGAGTTGGCAAGGCTGTGGAGCAACCGAACGCTCACACACTGCTGATGGGAACGCAGTAGAATGGTAGGGCTACTGCGCAGAAGCTCATCTGTTTCATAAAGCGCTGAACAAACTCTTACCATGTGACAGCCACATTCTAGGAATCTACTCCAGAGGAATGAAGATCTATGTGCACAAAGACTTGTACATCACAGCAGTATTATTTGTAACAGCCACAAACTGGAAACAATCTAAATATTCATCAATTAGTGAAAAAAACGGATGAAGAAAATGTGGCATATCCATGCAGTGGAATATTATTCAGGAACCATAAAGAAAGAACTGATACATGCTGCAGCCTAGATAAACCTCAAAAACATTCTAAAGAAGCCAGACACAAAAGACCACATTTTACATAATTCCATTTATAGGAAATGTCCAGAATAGGCAAATCTATAGAGACAGAATGCATTTGCCTGAGGATGAGGGTGAGAGTGGGGATTAACTGCACACGGGCATGAGGGAATTTTCAAAATGATGAAAATATTCTAAGATGGGACAGTGGTCATGGCTGCACAATTCCATTTACCAAAAATCTTTGAGCACTTAAAATGGGTGAATGTTAAGGTGCATCATGCAAATTATGCCTCAGAAAAACTATTAAAAAATCAGCAATGCAAACTGGAGGAAGAGTAGAGAAGCACGATTAGGCAACCTTTGCATCTGATATACCCAAGTGTCCTCAGGTTTAAGTAACATAGTTCTTACACCTCCTCTATGTGCCCAGTGATGGGTACACGACAAAAGACACTATCTGCCAGGTTAAGACAGGCAAACAGGCCGTTCCCTGGTGGGATACAGTGAGGACGTGCATACAGATGGGGCACCAGGCTGACCAGAGATGCTTTTCCTGCAGGAGTAACATCTACACTGACACCCGGAAGGACCATTTCAGAGAGACCAAGTGGGGACAAATGCCAGGTCACAGTGGCCTTCTATGCCATGCTACAGAGTTTGGGTTTTTATCCTGAACTGCAAAGCTCGGAAAAGAGAACAGGGAACCGGAGCTCAGCTCCGTTAGAGAGAAAAACATCTGTGTACCACTAGAGATGAAACTGGGAACAGCAAGTCTGGGCTAATCACTGTGAGAACAGTTTTCAGTTGTACAATGTTACGTCATCATGAGCAGGAGTAGAGAATAGTAGTGCTCACCTTTGGGGTGAAGAGGAGTGGGCGGGCTCTGCTGTTGGTTGTGAAGGGAGAGGAATCCATGGAACCACAACAAAAGGATATGGGAAGTCAAGCAGGTGTGTCTAGCTGAATAAAGCTCACAGTCCACTCTCCATGCATGGGCTCTTTGGTTCTGAGCAAGAGGGTGTAGGTTACAAGGAAAGAGCTGTTCTTACTTTAGAGGCAAGTGACCCTTCTCCCACAGCACAAAGCCCGCAGATAATCTGGCTTCCTCTGCTTTGGCACAAAGGGGCTTGCTTCTATAATGCAAGGTCTGTCACAGTACCGGGCAGTGGCCCCGCACACACCGGGCACGAGGCTGGATGGACCAGACACTGCTCCTGTCCAGCGAGCTGGACTGAGTGTGGAAATCTGGTCTCAATTCTTGACAACACTACCAGTTAGCTGATGAATCAAGTCAGCTGGCCCTTCTGAGGCTGTTTCCTTGTACTAACATGAACCATGCTAACTACCCGGTGGGGAGTCCTGAGAGGCCCTGGTGAGAATCAACAGTGTTTATGTGTGAAACATGTGCTGGTGGGATGTTATGTGGGAGAGACATAACCTTCCAAAGACTTGAAAAATAAAGCTGTCATTCAGGTATAATCATCACCCGGTGGATAAGACTGACCATAGCTGACTTTGGAAAAGTGTGAATGAAGAGTTTCCTGACATCCCAAACCACAGTAACCAGGGTGTAATCTCAGGAAGGCAGCTCTGGAATGTGGCTGTATTTGGAGAAGTAGAAACTAAACACAAGAGTCGGGTTCTCTCACATTTTGAGGAGCAGACAAACCACCATGGGAATTTGCCTGCACTGGAGTGCCTGCGCTGCACCCCAGCCATAGGTCCCCAAGGAGGGATCTATGAATGAATGTGTGTGGTTTAAGAATTTTCTAGTGACTTTCGTGTGCACCAAAGTTAAGCACCTCTGGCCCAGAGTTTTAGAAAGGAGCTGGACGTTTTGTTTCTAGACGGTCAACAGGCCAGCCACATTCCATCAGGGAACTGGTGTTCTACGCACTGAGTGAAGAAAAGGGGAAATCCAGGAGGAGTGATTTGGAAAGCAGCAAGTACGTAACATGCGTGTTTTTCACCCGAACCCGTTCTTATAAAATACACACACGTCTCTCCAAAGACTGCTTTTGCTATACATCTGGCTCCTCTCTTATTTTCACAGGAATATTTTACTTTGTCCAACGTATTTTTTCACTGGAAGGCAATAAAAAGATGATTTACTTCTAATATTTAAAAAATAAAACAAGAAAGGATAAGAAGATATTAGGAGTGTACTCTTTATTTCTCTTTGGTTTCTTAACACAAAAGACATGCGTTCTATAAATAAAAGGAAGATTTGCTGGGGGACAATGACTTGGGGGGGTGGGAAGAGCAGATTTTCTACCTACTCCCAGCTCTGTAGCCGAGTCAAAAGGCTGGTCTTCAGCTCCCATCCTGGCTTTGATCTCAGGTGAAACCCGGAAGACAAGGCTGTGTGTGTTATCTGGGAAGGGGAATGGCCTAGGACAGCAGTCCTGTGCTCAGAGCTGGTCCACTGAGCACATCTCCCCCACCCGCTGGTTATACCCTTTTCACAGTATCCTTGGGTGAGAACTCTCCTTTTCACAGGGCTCCTGGAAAGGCCTGAACACCAAAGAGCCAGCCCAGACATTTGCAAACTCCCCCTCAGACTGAGGAGCTGACTGTTGAAGAGTGTGATAATGTTGGTGTTGGCTCGCTTGTGCTGAGCCCACCCAGATCAAAACACTGGCCTCAGGGGCAGCGGTGTTAACTTCCACACCAGGAGGTGGGAGTGGACTTAGGAAGTTACTACGAGAGCAGCAGATCGTGAGGGAAATGATCTATCAGCCTCAATGGCAAAATCTGTGCCACCGTCCTGAGGACCTGTGAGGCCCACTTGTTAGCCCACTGACTGATCCTTAACCCCTCCACGACCTGGGCTGGCCAGGACTGTTTCTAGTTCACAGAAGGGCTTATAACAAGACAGGCATGGACACACTTCTCTCCAACAGGAAACACAGACCCCACTGCCTTCCGAGTCTACCTCTGTAGGCAAACCGAGAGGGAGTGAGAAATGCTGGGGCTCCACTATGAGCCCAGGCTCAACTGTATCAGACTGTTGAGTCTTTTAAAATAAAACATAATTTTCAAGTGCTTGTAGCAGAGGCCCAGCTCCTAAGTGGCAGCTAACAAAGGTACTTCCCTCTGGATACATGGCGATTGCACACACTCGTAAACCTTGTGGTACTGGGGTGGGAAAGACGTCTCAGGCTCCACACCGTGCCTTTCTGAACACGCTTCCAGGACACCCCAGGCAGGCAGCAAGGGACAGGAGACCAGCCAGGTGGAGAAGGGGGCCCTAAGACCCAGTCTTGCATGAAAGGAACTGTATCCTCTTTGAGTCTGTACTGGAAGCATTTTAGAAAACCAGATTTTGGCAGCAGCAGTTGAAGGACAGCCCCACTGCCCAGTGCACTGGTAACAGAAGTGTCCTCCTGTTCGGGTCCTGCTGTGCGACATTGAGGTCCCGTACAGGGAGGAGGAAGGAGCATGGAGTCTCTTCAAGAGGTCATTTGCTAATATCAGAGGAAGAAATATAAAATCTGTTCTTTGCAGCAGCAAGAGATTCTTTCGGCCTCTAGTTCTCTGCCATAAAGTCAGCTTTGCTCGAATGTAAAGGCCCACCTTGCTGGTCGTTCTACTGAGGGCTGGAGGGAGGCCAGGCCCCTGGAATTGGCGAGGGGATGGAGAAGCAGTGGACTGGCAGGGTAGACAAGGTTACTGGACCAAGCCAGCCATGGCTGGTGGAAGGACCATGTCCCTGGTTAGGTTCTAGAGGTACCAACGGTCAATGTACCCTAGAAGCATCACAATGAAGAAAACGATCCAAGAATGACAGATGGGCGAGAATCTGGCCGGACCTGCTGTTTCCTTGCTGGTCAGGTGAGGAATGAAAGTGGGGGTAGGGAATTTGAGTGAGCGCCATGGTGGCCGTGGGAGGTAACCACAGGGGCACCCGGAGCCTCCGGTGACCGACTGGGAACTCCCACCTGGAAGAGTGGCCAGCCGTAATTCAGCCCACTCGCTAAGCCTACGGTTAAAAAAAGTCCTCTGATGGCGGGTGTGAATACAAACCCCGTGAGCACCTTGCTAGAGGACCAGTCAAGAGCACACTGATCCCGGACACGCGAGGGCTCAGAGGCGACCCCGGGGGCCGTGCGAGGCCTCAGGACCCTGGGACCCGAATGTGGGAGTGGGCGTCACCTTTCTCATGGTGGGCGGTTTTCTACTGAAACACGTATTCGCCTTTAGTGTCTTTGAACATTTTCTTCTCCCAAAGAATGTTCACTTAAAAAAAAGGTACTTTTCTTTCCAGTTTCTTTCAAGTGTTTCTTTATTTCAATTTCCTTCGGATTCTTTCAAGTATCTTTCTTCTTTTCCTTCTTCTTCTTCTTCTTCTTCTGTTACTCCTCAACAAGATGAAAAGACCTCGCTGAAATACCAAAACTCGACACAGGAAGAGCTTCTGTTCTCCCTGGTTACCCAGCAATGAGGACCAAGTCCTCTGTGCCCTCGGATGGAAGAGGGAGGTGCTCGTGTGCAAGCAGCACGGTGCTGTGATGGCACCACCACAGGCAACGAGGACACCCCGAGCGCGTCCTTCCTCCCCCAGCCGCACCCCAGCTGCCAACAGGCTGGGTGGGTCACTGCAGCCACCCCACTGCATATTGGCCACACCATGGCTGGAGAGCAGCAGGCGAGGAGGAGCGTCAGATGGCAGACCTTCTGCAAGTGGCAGGTGGGAGCTGGGCTTGGATGGAGCCTGTGTACGTGTGGACCAGCAAAGCAGTCCTGTGTCACCAGCTGCGGAACACAGAGGGGCTCTGCCCCACGTGGTACACCTTGGTGACCTAGGCTTGAAGGTCCCGAGCGCAGCGCGGTGAGGGAGGATGTAAGCACCTGGAAAAGCTGTACCTCCAGCGAGCTCACATTCACCCCATCTTCTGGTCTCCCACCTCTCCCAAGATGGCCTGTCCCTGGAAGGGAGTGCCTATATTTGTACCAGATCCCTACCCCGCCACATCCCCCGCTCTGCCTTAGATGGTGAGGAGAGGGATGCAGCCCACACCAACCCCTCCCTCGTGACATGCCATGGGGGCCATAAACGTCCAGCGGTCTGTCTCTGGGTCATACATCTCCACTGAGCTGAGGTTTGACTGTCCATCATAGCCCCCCACGGCGTAGAGGCGCCCACAGCTGGCCACCAGGGAAACCCGGCTCCGGCGTGTGTGCATGGGGACGATCAGGCACCACTGGTCGGCCACGGAGCTGTACATCTCCGCGATGCTGAGGAAGCCAGAGCCGTCATAGCCCCCACAGACGAACATCTTGCTTCCCAGGGAGGCGGCTCCGTGCCGACAGCGCTTGTTGAGCATGCCGGCGGCTGGGTGCCAGGTGGCCGTGTGGTGGTTGTAGTGCTCCACCTGCAGCAGGGAGAGAGGCACGGGTCCAGCAGTCGGAGCCAAAGCTCGGGCCACACGGGGGCTTGCGGCCACAGCGGCCCACGCGAGTCAGACTCCAGTGAGAGGCCCGCTTTCCGCAGCGGCACTCCTGCTCTGGGGCTGATTGAGGGACCCTGCCTACTCTGACCCCTTCTGTTCTTCGTCCCAGGAGACAAAGGCGTTGCCCGAGGATGCACTGCTATAGTGGCAGAGGCGCGAGGAGAGCAGGGTCTCCTGAAATCTGTCCAGAGTGCTGCACTGACTGACGCCATGGATCTACCACTAGATGGCGGTTGAGGTTTTTTTTTTTTTTTTTTAAAGAATAAATGCAATTTCCAACAAATTATCCAGAATACAACTATTGGCAAATCTGCACCGTCTATAGCTGAGCTTACTCTGGGCAGGGATTTTGCCAGCTCTCATGCAGCGTTCAGCGGAGAACTGAGCAGGGTGGGGTGAGGGTGGCATGGCCATACCTACCCCTCCTCTGTGCCCCCTGGCTCCAGTCTCAGAAGAATCTCCGAGCATGTGGCAGATGGCCTGAAACCTCTTTAGATGACGCGTTGCCCAGTTATGGCAAGGCTGAAGTTTCTTCCGAAGAACTGCCTTTCAAAATTATTCTCAAAGGTTGGGGGGGGCGCGCCTGAGTGGCTCAGTTGGTTAAGTGTCTGACTGTTGATTTCGGCTTAGGTCATGATCTTAGGGTTGTGAGACTGAGCCTTGTGTTGGGCTCCACACTCAGTGGGGTGTCTGCTTCTCTCCTTCTCCCTCTCCCCCTGCCCCTCACCCCACTTGTGCTCTCTCTCTCCAAAATAAATACATCTTTCTTTAACAACAAAATTATTCTCCAAGATGAAGGGAGTGAGTGCCCTTAGCCCCGGGGGGAGCCCAGACTCACGCTGCTGAAGATCTGCAGACCGTCGTGGCCACCTGACACATATATCCTGCCCTCAAACACCGTCACCCCAGCAGCACTGCGACTTGAGCTCATCGGGGTCACCACTGTCCACCTGCAGGAAAGAGCCAGAGGAGGGAGCCATGAGATGCAGAGCTGCCGTCCTCCCAGGACAGCTCAGGAGGGGCGGGGCAAACTGTGCAGTGTTCCTTCTCATCCTGGACAATCTCCCCACCTCTGTAGGCACTCAAAATCAGCATGTCCTAAATAAGGCCCCTCTCTCTTACAGACGTGCTCCTACCCGGTCCTGTGGATGGGACCACCGGCCATCTAGTTGTCCTACTCAGAGTCAGTGTTTTTATGGCCTCTCTTTTCCCTCATCTTCAACATTCCTGTGGTCACCAAGTCCGCCTGGCCTGCCTTCTAGTCACTGCCTGCTCCAATCCCACTACCGCTGGCCTAGCTTGGGCCTCCCCCCGGGACAGCCTGCCGCAGCCTCTGCACAGGTCACCTGGCTTTCAGACCCTGCCCATCCCGACCCCGTGCAGCACACCCCTCAGGGGGCTCCTCACCGTTTCCTCCAAGGCAGAGTCCGAGTTCCCTATGCAGTTCTTTATCTCTCAGGCCTCATCTATTTCCACTTTCACCTCCTGCCGTGTGCCACCCACACTGGCTCCTCACGAGCACTTTCCTTCTTCTGGGCCTCTCCTCGTGCTGTCTCCCTGCCTACGATGCACATCTCCCACTATCTGTGATGGGTCACCTCTCAGAAGTCATCCCTGCCACCCTGCCTCTCCCCGCCAGCCGTGGTAAAGATGAAGGTGCTCCCCACCCTGCACCCAAGAGCTCCAGACAGAGGCCCCCAGGGTAGGAAAATCACGATGTACCCGTGGCCCCAGCGGACCGGCTGCTCCTTAAGCATCTCAGACACCCAGCTTGATACACAGTCAGTTGGTTAAGTGAATGGAATGTTGGCTGAAAAGCATTCTGATGAATCCATTCAATGAACTGGCTTATGAGAAGATTCAAATACTGAAATGAAAAAGTTGGGCTAACCTTGCCAGCTGTTTTCCAAAGAGTATTCCACAAAATAAGATGGTGACAGGCATTATATCACCGGAGAAATTTTCAGTCTTTAAAATGTTACTATGTTTGATGGAAATTAAGAACTCTGGCAGTACGGACATCAATGCCTTCCAAGCTTACCTGACCACGTAACATTTCTTGCCCCTCTAAATCACATCCTACCCAAATCATACCTCTCTTAACTTTGGAAAGTGTTGTTCATTTATTTCTCATCCCTTTCCACCTGCATATCCATTAAAGCGGACTGATTTAACAAAGAGGTACAGAGCATTAAATAAACATCTCAAACTACCTAGGTAGACTACTATTTATTTTTAAAATTTATTCAATCCTTCATCCATTGAACCAAAAGTTACTAAATACCTATTATACGCAAGGTACGAAAGGGGCTGAAACGGTGAGTAAGATGCTCTCTATCCTTGAGAAGCTTAAATAAAACACTGCCGTTCTCATTCTCATACTGTCTGTTTAACCAGTTCCAGTTTTCCCAGGGGAGCTGGAGTCCTTACTTGTCTGTCTCGGGTGAGTAGGTCTCCACAGAGCTGAGAGAAGAGTTGCCATCATAGCCCCCACAGACGTAGATCTGTCCATCCAGCACGACCGTCCCCATGGCGCTAAAAAAGACAGAGCTGTCATGCAGACGGGCCTCAGACCTCCTAGGCCAGCCTTGCACGCTCCCTAGGAGATCCACCTGACCACGCTGCCTCTTTCTAGAGCAGACCCAAGCCCCACGTGTGAGACTAAGTGTAAAAGTGAGGAGAAAGCAGCTGCCCTTCGGTGCCCCCCGCCGGGCTTCCCTCGGGGGGGGGGGGACCCCCTCTCTGCCCTGGCTGTGTCTGAAATGCTCACCTTCCACCTGGCTGTGCTCAAGGTGTCATTATGTCAAAGTTCTCTCTCTCCTGCTCACAAAGCCGTCCTGGACCCCTCAGCAAGAATCAGTCCCTCCCGGCCCCACGCTGCCAGAGCAGCTTCTTTACCCCAGCACTTGTCGCTGTCGTCACGGTCACTCATTCACCCCTCGGATCCCACGCGGCACTCAGAAGGAGGCGTGCCGTCCTGGGCCCTAGATCCACAGTGCCGAGCGAGCCGAAGCTCTTGCCCACGGGGGCTTGTTCTGGCGCCTGGGGGTGTTGGGAAGCCACCTGTCACCTCGTAACAAGTGGGGACCTCCCGGAAGACAGGGGTCTTCCCCCATGTGACTCTGACCGTGCTTCGTGTCGTGCTTTGTACAGATCTGTTGTGTTAGCCTGATTTCCCTCTTTAATGCACTGTGAAGTTTGACAGATGTCTTTTCATGACAGATGTGGCTCGAGGGCCCCTACTTTGCTCTGTGGGTGACGCTATGTTCCCGCTGTGCACTGATGGAGGTCCTCTGCGCTTGCCATTTGCCCCCCCTCACCCCACCCACCAAGGAAGCAGCACCATCTTCATGGCACAGATGAGCAGCTGAGGCTGGGGAGGTTGGGTACTTCTCCGGGCTGCCCAAGAGGCAGGCCTTGGATTTAAATGAGACGAGCCCACTCCCATGCTGCCCACCGTGCCCCCCTCTCCTCAGATCAAAGACCCCACGGTCTGGCGTAATCATATAATCTGTTCTATACCACGCCTCATGAGAAATTAAAAATGCCTGCCAAGTCTGCCCAATTCACTGTTCTCAAATCTGGTGCTGAAGATTCAAAATGAATCTGGGTGGCTGACAAACAGGAAAATAAAATACACCAGGCTTACTGCCACCTTTCAAATGTACACAGCAAACCGAACTGATCTGCGCAATGTCCCTTTGAGGGACACCATAACAGATCCCCTCAACTGGCCCAGAAGAGGAAAAGGACTCTGGCCTCAGGCAAGGACTGTGGGAAGACCACAAATTCACCAGACACTGTCACTATCCTTCCAGAACTGGACAGAAGTAACAACACAGGAGTTCAACAACAATACGAGACAGAAGAGATGCCACAAAACTGAGTGAGGTTAACTATCAACCAAGCGGTAAAGGCCAGTGTGAAGAGGGGAGGGGCCTGGCATGGAACATGGCAGGCGAGGGGAAGGATGATGGCAGGAAGGAGTTTGTCACCACAGGCATGACAGAGAGCCATGTGGGACAGCAGGAGAGAAGTGACTCAGAACATTGTTCGGCAGCCTGTAATTTCAAAGGGATGAAATGGAGCTGGGTCCATGCTACTAATAACAGGGCATTAACCACAGTGAGGGAAGGGGGTGCCCAGAGGACTTTCCTCCCAGACAACACTCCAAACTCTGTGACATCAAAGCAAGGAAGTTGCCCAGAGCAGACACCCCAGGAAGAACAACGGGTTGCAGTGAAAGCAAAAAGGGCACTCATGGCTGGAGAAATGGAGTAATGAGTCATCCGAGGCCACAGAAGGCTGCAAGGCGCCCAAGGAGCAGAAAAGGGAAGCTCTGAGGTAGGGAGGGGGGAGGAAGGAACCACAGACTGTTAGCTCAGGGAAGGGCAGATCATGTATACAAATTCTTTTCTTCCCAAGCGAACCTACTGTGACTCTTTGTGAATCTGGTCTTATTGGTACATACAAAGGCAGACTCCTCCCGGCCCGAGGCACACGCTAACACTGCAGAACGTGGTACGTGTGCCTCCTGGCCTGACACTTCTTCTTGCTCGCCACACAGGCAGTCGCTTGATCTTACACACAGAAAACCCAGAGCAGGGCCAGACAAAGGGGCCTATCAGGCAAATGCTTGGGCCACAGAATTTACAAAGCAGAAAGGCCCTCGAAGAGCATCTGCCCCAGTGGTTTTCAAACTGCCCCTTTCAAAAACAACTCATGTAACTTTTCCCCTAAAGTTGGGCATCTGTCAAGGAAGCTCAATTTGTGAGAGAGAAATGCAGAACTGTTTTGGTTATAGGGGTACGGACCACTTCCTCTACTCTGTCAGCCCCGGAAGAGAAAGCTGAGCGCCACTTGAAACTGGTGATCCAGGGTGGCCCTACTGAGGGCAGAAGAAGAGAAGACCTTGTCCAGGGACCCCCCCCCCCCCGCCCACCGCTCCAGAGCCCAGCCGTGCACATGCTCCACACGTCTGACGGAAGGGAAGAGGCCGCCTGCCCCTTCGGCACTGAGAAGGCTGAATGGAGGTGTCATTCGGATGCCCTCTAACTCTTCTTCAGGAAATCTGAGCAGGCAAGGGATGGAGGAGACAAGTATCTGAGTGTATTAAGAGACATAAACTTGGTCCACCTACGTGCTCACACCTGGCAGGGGGAGGGCGGGTGACTGAAGTGAAGCATGTTGCTATGGCTCACATACTCCCAGGGTGGCAGAAGCACGTGTGTGGGAGAGACCGGGGGGTGGGGTGGAGGTGGGGAAGAGGGTATAAAGGACAACACTTCTCATGTCCTTTCATCACTAATAAAGTTAAATCCTCCTTATTCTTCAAGTTTCAACTTTAATCCCACCTCTTCCCTGAAATCTTCCAGACGTTTCCATCCAGTTTCTTTCCCTTCTAGAATCTTCCATAACATACATTTTCCATTCTTATCTGATACTTAAATAACAATACAACTTCCACATGTCCATGTCTCATCTCTCTAAGCTCCTCAAAGGACAAGGCAAGGACTTTACTTTTGAGCAGATGGGGCTGAGCTCCCGGGAGTGGCAGTGGCTGGCCTGGCTGCAGGAAATTCCCAGGCTGGCTTGTGTTTTATATTATTATGTGCCCCTGCCTGTCTAGCATGGCGCTCCCCAGATGCTCAGTGTGTATGCTCAGGCTGCACAAGTGGCTTCCAGAATACCTTCTCTTGCTATTCATGCTCCGCACTCTGGTCCACGTGTCCGTCTCTGGGTTGTAGACCTCCACAGTGCTCAGCCGTAGCTGGCCGTCATACCCCCCAATGGCATAGAGAAGCCCGTTCACCACAGCCACACCGACGCGGCTGCGGGCTGTTGTCATGGGATGGCACTTCTCCCAGCGATTGGCGATGGGGTCGAACACTTCCACCACATTCAGGGAATCACCTGCATAAAAATTTGCTACTCAAATTAAAACAAATGAGACCATGTGTTTAGATCACAGCTGTTGGGCATTGATTACATGGAATGTTCGACTTGACTCTATCAGTTCTTCCCACAGAAATACTCAAGCCAGATGGGCCCACTAAGACGTTTCAGCCGTGCTAACCTCAAACTGAATTCTTCAAGGAAAATCAGATCAGACAGGAGGCATTCACTTTCTAGAGGGCAGTTTTAAACTGCAATGAGGTATGCCACCTGCTTAAGGCCAAAGTCGAAGGGAGATGGACACACTGTTTCCCCAGTGCAGGAGGCATGCCCACAAGGAAGGGCATGGGTCCCCCCGCCGACTTTCACTTACTAGTGTGTGACCCTGGGCAAGGTGCTTTGTATCCCCATCTTCTGTTCTCACATGTGACATGGAGATAATCTCTATGGCAGAGTTATCGTCAGGATTAAATGACAGAATAGGCAAAGCACCTAGCATAGTTCTAGAACACACTAAGTGCTCAATAAATAGTAGTTATAGTAGCCAGGAATGATGATTCCAACCCTACCATTTACAACAGGGTTTTTTTTTTTTTAGATCAAATAAAATAATCCCCCCTCCCTGTTTTATTCTATTGTGGGGCACTTCGCACCTACCACACTTCAGTGTTTACTAGCTGAGGACACCCCCTTTCCAGGACACATGGTTAACAAGTATATGGTAAACCGACTGGTAAACTGACCCATCTCTCATTAAGCTTCAATTAAAAATGAAACTGCCCAGGACTGCCCACCACCTGCCCCCCTCCATGAGCCTGGACTGACCCAGAGAAAAGGGCGGCCTTCATGTGGGAGGTGACTCCGCCCTTTGCCACTATGCCACCAAGATTCAGGAGGCCACATTGCCCTCCCCATGAAATCTCCACTGCCCTGCAGTGGTGCCTGGGTGGGCAGGAGGGCAGAGGGCCTCATGAGCTTGCCTGAAAACTTGGCTGGGTAAGAGCTGCCGAGAACATGCTGACTCCAAAGCATGTGTGCACTGCGTGGGAGGCAGCAGGTGGAGAGAAAGCGGTATTATGGATAGTGCTGACCGTGTATTTGGAGAATTTTCCTTCTTATGGTGACAGACATAGAGTCTAACCCCAGAGATCCATATGACCAAATGTGATTAGCCTGGTAACAGCTGGGTCCTGGACTGCATTCTACCCAGGGATGGTATTTAGCTCTGGTATTCTGACTTGATGGTATTCATACCTGACATGCTTTCACTGCATAGCATAATAGCTGTATCAAATCAAGAGGGACCAGGGTGTGACATACAAAGGAGGGGACCAGAGGACCAGACTAGGTTGTTTGGTGCCTTTTTATCCACAAAGTCCCAGACAGCGCCCTGCAAAGGGGAGCTGCAAGATACCTGCTGAGTTGAGGCCCCCCACGGCATAGATAAGGCCCGTGATGGACGTGCAGCAGCGAGGCCGAGTTCTGAAAGCCGGCAGGTGGGGCCGGCGCTCCGGCATGAGGTGATAGTCCTTTGCTTCGTCTACCAGGTCCCTGGAAGAAGGTGTCGCATGTTAGGACAGGAGGTATTTCTCCACGTGGTCTACATTTGTATTTCCGAGTCTGGTTGCCCCACCCCCAACTGGAAGGGAAACATGGGAGGAGCAGCCTTCTGGAAGGTTTGGTCTTGAACCCAAGCGAGTCCAGGGGGAACCACACACAGCTACTGAAACATGCTCAGACTCAGAGGGGCAGATGAGCAGAGCCCACCTCAGTGAGAGTAATCAGAATGAGTATCTTCTAATAGGCACACACGTAGCAGGAGGAGAACAGGGTGGTGGCACGACAGCTGGTGTTAGGGAGGTTCGACAAGCAGCCTGCACCCTGTCACCACTGAGACCCAGCTCTTCCTTCCTATCCGTCTGGCCCACACCCTGCAATGCACCATTCCTCACCCAGACTGGGGCAGCAGAAGCTGACTGCTACTGACGGATGGCCCTGCCTCCGGTCCTCCAATCCACCCTCCACACTACAGCCCAAGCTGTCTGAGAACCTTTGATAGCTACCCATTGCCTAGAGAATGAAGTTCAAACTCCAAAAGCCCCCTTGAGACTGCTTGTCACGGGGTCCCCCTACCTGCAGCCACACCTCCACCCCCTCCTGCCACACACCTTCATACGGCTCACACACAGCCACGGACTTCCTCTGACCCTGCTGTGAATATGGCAAGCTGTGTGGAGGAAGGTGAACATTTTCCTTTGCTATTCTACTTTTATAATGATCCTCCTATATGGCTACCGCCTTCTGAGCTGTTTTGGGAGCTCCGCTGTGCCACATCATCACCGATTTACCCTGGGTAAAAGTTTTCCATGCTGGTAAACATGTCCCCCCTTGCCCATCACTGTGGACGGGCCCAAACCCACCTGAGGCCAGTGCACTGACTAATGTTTACTGGAGAGGACAAGGAGCCCCAGGGAGTCACCACTAAGTCAGCTCCTGGAGATGCTAGGAAATCCTCAGGGAGTGTAGGGGAGGAAGCCCCTTCTGCCTCAATGCTCCCTCATGGCACATTTCTTTGCCCAAGGGGTCAGACTCGGGCTCTTTCAGGCTCTAGACACAAGGCAGATCAATCTGCGTGCCGTGAATTAGGACTGACCACTCCAAATCCTTCTACCCCTGAGCTGGAACACAAACAGCCTAAGTGGCCAAGTTCTCTTCTCTGCCTGCTCCCCCCCGCCGCCCCCCACAGCATCCTGTGCAGGCTGGCCCTCGCTCACCTGCATTTGTGGCAGGAACGCACCAGGTCATCCTGCTGCACGCGGTCTGACAGGAACTGGGGCCGGCAGAGGGGCAGGCGGATATTGGACAACAGCTCGGGCAGGCAGGGCCCCCTCTGCTCCCGGTCATATCTGACCCAGGCCAACGCAGCTTCAAAGACCTGCCATGGCAGAGAGTGCAAGCCGTGTAGTTACTCCTCGCTCCCAGGGGCCACGTCCCCAGGCCCCCCAGTCTCGATGCCTCCACTCCCTATACTGAGGCAGTCCCTCAGGCCCATACATCTTTCCTCCTACTTGTCTCCTGAAGTCACTGTCTTCTGCTTCCCCAAGCTGCCCCATTTGGCCCAGCCTCTTGAAAGGCAAGCCTCAGTGACTGTAACAGCTTCCCGGCTTTTATCACATCCTCCTAGTGAAAAGCTGCACATGGTTCCTTACTCCTTTGTGCATCTCCCCACACTGTTTGCTTGTCTTCCCTCCTCGACCCCTCCACCCTCTGTTCTCACAGGCTGGCCAGTTCTCTGTGCACACTGTCCCTTTCACCTCGAAGGCCCCTCATATCCTCCTCTTCATCTAAACCCACCCCCCCTTTCCTTAAGGCCTGGTTCCAGATTGATGTTCTCTGGAGCTTTCCCTAAAGGCTCCAGCCACGAGGGTACTTCCCTTTAAAACCTGGGATCCAATGTATAACCGGTAAACGAGCTGCCCCAGGTCATATTCATTAGTGGGAGAGCTTGGGACACGGCTTGCTCTTGGGACGGGGCTCTTCCCTGCACCTACAGCGCCCGCACGGCCACACTCAGGGCCCCCTTTACTACTGCTCTTCGGACATTAGGGAAATGAGCCGAGTTGGGACTAACCTCCCAACAGCTTGCCTCCTAGAGCCTGGGGTTCCTCCTGCAGAAGCAGAGCTTCACGGCAGGCCAGGACTCCACACTGCAAGCATCCCAAGCTGCTCTGCCTGGGGCCTTGGATAGGTTTCCCAGCGACTGGACCAGTGGAGGCCTTGCCGCAGAGGAGCTCCCGGCGTCTGCAGGGCCAGGTCCGAGCATCTCACCCCGGCACCGGAGCCCTTCGCTGTCCAGCCCTAGCCACCCTCTGCTCCAAGTAATGTCTCCTCACGGTCCTCTTCATGTGTCTGTGCCACACCTCTGCTGATCAAAGGGATCGCCCTTTGCTCCTCCCTGACTGCTAACACCCTGCACTCTCATTTATTCACGCTCTTCTTGGCCACCCCTGGGAAGAGGTCTTCTTTGTCCTTCGAGGACCCTAGTCATTCAAAGGCTTCGCCTCTTCCATCAGTTTCAGTCTGCCGGTGCTGACCACCACCTCCAGTCCTTTCCCCTCAGTAACTGATGCCAACGGGCCTTTGACGCTGCTCCCTCTCTCCCAACCTCGCGCTCAGGGCCCCTCTGGCCCACCTGCTCCCTGCCGTCTCACCCAGCATGGGTTCCGCGGATTCTGAGGTGGGTGCCCTCAGCGCCCATGCTGTGCACCTTCCTCCCTTAATCACGCCCACCTTGAAAAGTCTCTACCCTGGGGCGCCTGGGTGGCTCAGTTGGTTAAGCGACTGCCTTCAGCTCAGGTCATGATCCTGGAGTCCCGGGATCGAGTCCCGCATCGGGCTCCCTGCTCAGCAGGGAGTCTGCTTCTCCCTCTGACCCTCTTCCCTCTCGTGCTCTCTATCTCTCATTCTCTCTCTCAAATAAATAAATAAAATCTTTAAAAAAAAAAAAAGTCTCTACCCTGGTGAGGTCCAGCTCTGTAAGTTCACCCCCACCTGCACTCTGCACCTGTGCCAGCAAATGCAGCTGACAGAGCTGGCTGGTCCTTTCTTCTCTCTTTTTAGTAATTTCTACACCCAACTTGGGGCTCAGACTCACAACCCCAAGATCGAGTCACATGCTCCTCCGACTGAGCCAGCCAGGCATCCCCTGGTGGGTCCATTCCAACTTTGTGGTCGGTAATCCCATCAGGCCCTGCTTCCCACCAAGCCCCTCTTCGCTTCCCGGGTATCATCCGTTTCCTCTCCCGCTCCCAGAGGCCTGGCTCACGACTTTTCATCTCTCCTCACATTTCTCACCCTCCTCCCGATCCTCATTCTCAGGTAAGAAAACAGACACATGGCAGAAGAGAACGTCAGTAGAATCTGCCAGCATGTCCCTTCCCACCCTGCGCCTCCCCGTGCCCCTGGCTGCGGGGGTTCTCCCTCCTGTGGGGACGGACACGAGTGGCTGGTGCTCCCAGCAGGGACACCCCGTGCCCTCAAGCCGGCCTCTCGCTTCCTCCAGGACGTCATGTCAGCAGCCATTCTCCCCTTCCTCCTGCATCACTGACTCTTCCCTCTCTTCTGGAAAATTCCCACCAGTAGTCAAATGTACTGCCATTTTTCTCACCTTAAAAAACAAACCAGCCAACCCCTTCCAACTTCATATTCTTCCCCAGTGATTGCCCCAGTGCTCTGCTCTCCTTTAGAATAAGACTCTTTGAAAGCGTTATCTATGCTAATTTCCAGTTCGAGGCAGCATTACTTCTAATAGTAAATACTGGAAATCGCCTGACATCTAAGAATAAGGGGTGCAATGTTGATAAAATCCACTGAATGTAAGACACTGAAATGGATACAAAGTTCTCATAAACATGCACATAGTGTAATGAAACAAACCCATAATAAACAAGCTGCACACACATGGTCTTCATGGAAAAAAAAAAAAGAAAACAAAGATTAAAAAGAACAGGAGCCCCCGAGTCCCCTGCAGACGGCTACTGTGCTTTACAGACCTGCTCCTCTGACTTTACATTCAGCTCATCCCGAGACACCAGCTCAAGCACATCTTCCAAGGGCAGGGCCAGGAATTCTTCCGACATGGACACCTCCACAAAGTGCTGGTGGATGAAGCTGTTGGCTGCGTCGTACAGCACAGCGCACATCATGGTCTCAGCAAACTGGCGGACACCCAGGCAATTTTTGGGGTGGAGACTTTTGGCATAAGAAAAGATGAAAAGAAAAAATGTAGAGGAAGAATGGTATGTTTGGTCATTCTCAGAGCTACAGAATGGAGAAAACCCTGCTTTGCTCTCAGCTTGGCTGCAAACTCCGTGCATGATCCCAGGTGTGCTGCTCAGGACTCAATTGTGAAGGTTTAAAATGAAGACACTGCCTGTTGGACCTAGTGTTCACTGTGTCTAGATGGGATGAGTTCTCTGGCAAGTCTGGGAAGCAGCTCTGAGGACAGAAGAATAGGAGAACACATACTGTTTGCTTTCCTTCAGCCGTTGACATTCTTGGTCAAATATCTACCTGTTCCCCACACGGGCACTGAAGTTGTAGAATGAGAGTTTAAACCATGCGGAGAGATGACTTCTCTAACACCAGGACCCTTACGCTTCATCTTCTGTAAACAGGAAGAAGTGCGGTTAGACTCTATGGTCTAACTGGACCCCCAGGAACACCAGCGGTAGCTACCACTCACTCAGCACCATCAGCGCGTCCGGTACTTTGCCAGCGAGAATCTTTTCAACAGCACTGCAGAGTAGTCATTACTTCCATTTTTAGATGGAAAACTGAGGCTCAGAGAAACTAAGACACGTGCTCCCAGCCCTCTACAAGCCAAGTGGTGGTGTGGAGACTGAACCCCGTGTGCATTTCCATGACCTGGAAGCAGACCTGCCCTCCTTGGGGCCGTCTGGGTAAATCCGGGCCCTGCGTCACACCAGGTGACATGGGAGGGTTCCTCAAGTGTCCGTAACAGCCTCACTTGGAAAAAGGTGAGGACAAGAGCTAGCCAGCTCCTACAGCTGTGGCCACGATTAAGCAAGAATGTGGCAAAAGCACTCAGCATGGTGCCTGGCGTGAAGTCAGCTGCTGTCTTAATTTTCATCGTGGTCGTTTTTCTTACTACTATTGCATGTGACAAAATCTCAAATGCACCCAACGTGGTTCTGAAATCTTGGTGACAGCAAGAGATTCTGGGGTTGGGGCTTTTCTGCTTTTCTTATTTTGACTTTGTGACTGATAATCTGTGGAAGGAGAAGGTGTTTATCAGATGGAAATTGCCCAGGTTTTCTTTATTAGACTGCTTGCTTTCCTTCCCTGCCATGTTGTTTAAAGTTATAGGCAAAGTTAGGCTCCATAGCTCAGGGGTTAGAGCACTGGTCTTGTAAAGTTATAGGCAAAGTTATACTCGCTAGCCAACAATCACCGCTGTCCCCCAGCAGCAGACCTGAAGGGCAGAGTCTCTCAGGAGCCTGCCTTTGGGATAATCTAAATTCCACAAGCTGTTGCTTCCCTTCCAGCCTGAAGAGGCTCTGTCCATGGCTTTGGAAATCTCTGTGCATTTCCACAAAGGCCAGGGAAGCATGAGCACTGACTAACACTTAGGCAAGGCCGCATGGCCAGTCAGGAACACAGCGCTCAAGGTCAGAATGTCGGCTCAGTCATCAAATACCACCTTTCTCCTGGAGCACTTACAGGGACTGAATGAGATTTGTTTATAGGCCTTTACACACATATGGCAGATATGAGGCTCAACCTTCCCTGGGCCTCTATACCATGTGATTCACTGATTCCAACTGCAACGACATCAACTCAAGATGCCACGGACTGGGAAATGGATAGAGTCCAAAGACGTGGGAAAGGATGGTCAATATACTGCCTAGAGCACATTCCCATCTGCTGGCTCTCAGGTAAGGACTCCTGTACCTTGCCTTTGGCTGTCTTTGACTGGCATGGCATAATAAGGAGAGCAAAACACACCTTCAACTGAACTGGGATTCTGCGTCGAAGAGGATGGGATGTGGGAAGCCTGCTTGTGAGGCAGCTGGTGGGGAAGGAGGAGGGAGGTCTACCATGCAGGAGAGGGCCCCGTTCAGGAGACGAGCCGGAGGAAGATAAGAGGGAAGATGAACCCAAAGGGCAGAGGTAGACCCATATCTTCCATTAGCCACCTCACAACTGGCAACCACCTTCTTGACTTTGTCAGCAGGGAGGCCACAATAAGATGTAATGCTTTATCAGACGCAGGAAGCAGTGACCTGAAGTAAGTCAGTCACTGGCTTGGTTCACTGATTTATCTGATGTTCTGGTTCAATTCTGAGAAAAGAGTTTTGGAAAATACATAGCTCCAGTGCTCACCTAAAAACAAGGAGGCCCATACATCTGAAGGCTTGGAAAGGGGCCACAAGAAAAATATCAACCCCAACCTCATGGAAAACTCTGAGAGCTTTACAGCTTCTCTGTGCTGAAAAGACAGAAGTCCTGTCTTTTCCACTAACGCTCAGAATGGTTTCTCTCAAGTCATTAGTAATCACAGCTTGACAACAAAGGGCCCACGTGCTTGTCTTTGAATACAGGCACATGGGAAGGGGGCAGGTGGGACCCCCTAACACACTCCGCAGCCAGGCTCAGGGAGAACCACTCCAAGGAAGAGAGGCAGTGATGGTAACTACTGGAAAGAAAACAGAAAGCAGGTCAAGCCTCTGGGGCCTGTGGGAAGGAATAAAGACAGGAATAAGGTGTGAAGTGAGGCTCAGAAGGGATCTTGCAGGGCTGAAAGGGAGAATGTCAAGGACAGACTCATAATGTCAGGCTTTGTGCTTAAGTGCGTCTTCCCAAAATATCACTGATGCATGTAAAAACTCCACTGGTCTAAAAATCACTTTTCTAAGCATCTTTTGCGTGGCACTCCTTTGTAAGAGGCTAGGTCCAGTATTGAGAGTGATGACCTCAAAGGCCCCTAGGTGGAGCTGTTGTCCCCTTGTGAGAGTGGCCAACTTAATCCTTTCCAGAATGCCGACTTAATCATTCTGAGCTCTGTGGAGACAGAGATAAACCAAGTCTGGTCTGTATCCTTAAGCAGCTCCCAAGTGAGTAGGATAGCCAGTGTGCCTCACATCCCCCCGCATGCATCCCTCCAGCCTGACCCAGAAGGCGTCCCAGCAGAGGGTCAAGCCAGGCTCTGGGGCTACATTGTCCTTATGTGGTCTCATCTGTAAAACCTGAAATAGGACCCACGATGAAACCACTCACCCTGCACCCAGCAGCGTGCCCTGCGTGCTAAGCATCATTACCATGGTTATTAAGACTAGCTGCACACACAGCAGTGCTCAGTGATGTCCATGAGCACCACGGGGGCAGGATGGGGACAGCAGGTGGGGTCCACAGAGCTGCTGAATGAGTTGGATTTGTGGAGCCGGAATGAGAGAGGGAGAGGTCAGCTCTAAGAGGAAATGAGGTTCAGGAGGGCAGATCTGAGACAGAAAGAATGCTGGTCTTCAGGCCAGGGACCTTGTGATCGCAGTAGCTCAGGTGGAGACCAGGTCTCGTAGAGCACCACAGACATTGTGTGGAGCCCAGCACTAACGTGCACCCCCAAGTCTCTAGTGCTTAAGAGGCAGCTTTGATCTTATGGCTAAGAGCTCCCCTTCTTGAGGGGGAGAAAGAGCCTTCTTATCAGCTCAGTCATCAAAGGGGCATTGCTGAACGCTGGACCTAGGTAGGGATATACTCCATGGTCCGTACCCTAAGAGAGCATACAGTGATTGCTTCCAGGGGACTGAGGGGGGACACAGAGTTCCAGGAGGTGAAATTTGGGTGGGCCCCTAAAGAGTGGAAGGAAAAAAAAGTCAAGACTTTCAAGGAGGGGAAAGGATCTACACAAAGATGGAGACAGGCTATGGAACAGAGAGGCAGTACGGAATCCGTCGGTTTGGTGGTGACAGTCAGCTAAGTTAGCACTGGTCAAACTGGGGGACCAGAAGAGGTGCGTGTCAGGCCAGGAGAGAGCACAGGCAGAGGTCTGTAAATCTGTTCCTCAAAGGTTCACCCCAAAGAACTGGGCACCACTCGACAGCGATTTGAAGAGTCAGCTCCCTGGCTCACTCCCTTCATAAAATTCTGTATGCCCAGACTGAGCGAATCGGCAGGGGGCTCCAGGAACGACCTGGGCGCGCTCCCCGCCATGGCCGAGTCCATGGCCTCACCGTTCTCGAAGGAATGTGCAGCAGGCGTCCTTGATGCTCTGCAGCTGCAGGAAGCTCGCCCCCATCAGCAACGACTGCACGTTCTGCTGGTCAATGGCAAGGTGGCCGTTGTAGGCAAAGTTGATCAGAGCCTCCAGGGCGCTAGAGAAAGGAGAGAAAAGATCCGCTTCAGAGACTCTGGCCCTCACTGAGCTGACATGCCTACCTGGGGAATGCGTGGGCCCTGCTCTAAAACCCATTTAGCCCATGCCCTTCGAGAATCTGCATGACAGGAATAATGACTTCACCAGAGTTGAAGAGTCATTCTACTTCGTAAGCTGTCTTTATTGCCCAAATAATCTTATTACAGAAAATTTTAAAAAGAGAAAGCAAGTACCCACAATCTCACTACTAAATGAGTCAAAAGTGGTTACTTTTTTGGGTTCATTTTTAGTCCCTATTCGCCTGCATGCGTAAATGGATACGGAGATAATCACATAATACTTACTGAGTCCTTTCCCATGTTGCTACACTGTCTTCATGTTTATCATTTTTAGTGGCTGCTATATAGTATTTCAACAGGCAAGCATGCCATAATTTATTTCCTTTATTGGTAGGCCTCATAGCTAATAACATCTTATTGCCATCATAAATAGCGTTTTTATTATTTCTTTGGGATACATTTCCAGAATGAGATGCCGACAAATTTTTCTGCCTTTCAATTCCCACTGGGAAAGAACTCCAAGTTCTGTCTCAGGGCTGCATGTGGTCTGGCCCCTCTCCGGCTCTCTGACCTCATCACCTTCCACTCTTAGCCCTCATTCTGTCCCAACATGCCCAACACACCCTCACCGCAGGGCCTTTTTGTACTGTCGGCTCCGCTTGGATGGCTCTGTCACCAGACGGCTCACTCCCTCACTTCGATTAAGGTCTCAGCTCAAATGTCACCTCATCACAGAGGCCTTCCCTGATCACCCTGGAATGACACAGACCCCCCACCATCGCTCACTTTACTGTTCTCGCCTCGCTTTCACTTGCCAGCCCTATCATGCACGTGTGTGGTTATGGTTATGGCCAGATTCCCACAGCTAGAAAGTTGGCACAATAAGAGGCGTTGTTTTCTTAGTGCTACAGCTCAGTGCCTCCGGCAGCACACATGACAGGTGCTGTCTACCTCTGTTAAAGGAAGCACTTGGACTGTGCATGGCAATGAGCACAGCTCCTTCAGAGATACAGACCTCAGAGAAGAGAGTGTACAAGTGCCCTTGCAGACCCACTTCTGTGTCTTTCCTTATAAGTAGCTGGCCTGAGATTTCTGCCTTGCAGTGGGTATATAAGATTTCTGCCTTGCAGTGGGTATATAAGATTTCGGCCTTGCAGTGGGTATACAAGATTTCGGCCTTGCAGTGGGTATACAAGATTTCGGCCTTGCAGTGGGTATACAAGATTTCAGCCTTGCAGTGGGTATACAAGATTTCGGCCTTGCAGTGGGTATACAAATCCTCTCCACGTGCTGGGGCAGACCACTCTCAATCATCCAGAGGGTCCTACGGTTTCCTGGCTCCTTTAGCCCTCGTTGTCACCACTCTAAGATTAAGAAGGAAGGCAACAAATGACAGGTTACTGGGTGAGGTTGCCAACTCACTGCTTTGTTTACTGTTTCCCCTCCAACAAGAACGTCATTGCCCCGAGTCACCCTGTGTGTCTCATTTGCTACTGCATTCCCAGCCCTCAGAACAGTGCCACACACATAGCAGGGGCACAGTGGACCCTTGGACACAGCCTAGGTTATAAACATGCAGCCTCAGTTCACAGACTTGTAGCAAAGTCAAACGAAGAATCTTTCACATAAACATCCTTCTCCCTTTCAAGGCCCAAAAAGGCATACTATGGAATATGTTTATACAAAGTCTTCATATAGTCATTAGGAAGGTATTTCCACGAAGAGGGTCCAGTAGTAAGTGACTTTACATGTCAGGACAACGTTAAGGAAATGCCTGAATGACATGATTTCAGCGGTTATGGTACTGCCTCCTGCCCCTAAAATTCATCTAGGGCAGAATTTTGCAGCCTCGGCAGGACTGACATTTGAGACCAGTACCTGCTAGGGAGGGCTGTCCTGGACGCTGAAAGGCAGTTAGATGGGGTAACTTTTGGGCTTGCCCTCTTTGGGCTTCAATTTTCTCAACCATCCAATAACCATGATTTTGCCCATCTTCTGAATCTGTGTTGTCTCATGTGGTAGCTACCAGCCACACATGGCTATTTAAAATTATGTTAAAATTAATTAAAATTAAGTAAAATGTAGAATTCAGTTCCTTAATCCCACCAGTTAAAATTCAAGTGCTCAGTAGCTACATATGGCTAGCGGCTACCTTTCTGGAGAGTACAAACACAACATTCCCATCAGTGCAGAAGTTCGAACGGATGACTCTGTTCTAGACTGTCAGGGAGAGTACTGAATGAAGACACTTATTGGGAAAACTATTTTGCCGGCTAGAATGGTTAGCACAGAAAAGTGCAGAGGATACCATTTTACCACCTTTGTACCCAGTCCTCATAAAAAATAGCTTGGACGCTGGTCCCTATTAAAAGTGTTACTTTAATAGTGCTGTGTCCCGCCACGGGCCTGCCAACAGCACCACGCACGGGGCTGAAGCTGCGCCTGGAAACCTGCAGACTGAGAGACCCAGTGGAGGAACTGAGTACCTGGGGTCCATTCCTTGCATTACAATCTCATCCTGCTTGCACTCCATCATGTCATTTGTAAACATAGCGTGGAAGTACGGGATTGAAGCTGCTAAGACGATCCGGTGGGCACTGAATTTGTGGTCCCCAATCTGTGGGCAAAGTGAGATACAAAGAGAGATACTGAGGAAGGCAAATACAAAACCCAACCGGTCCCTTCCCCGGCTTAAGCTTCTGCTGCCCGTTGAAATGGGACTGGAGGCATCCCGGTACATGACAGATTTTATCACGGAGACCCTGAGAGCTTCAATTCCACATACTCCGCTGCAGTGGAAGAGTGCAAACAACACAGTTTCATGAAGCATTAAAATGGTTAAAAAAAAAAACGGAAGCCCGAATGCTTCCAGCGGTAGTTTTTACTTCTATGGCAGTCGCACTGCCCTGTTCCCGACTCCCCGCCAACTCAGAGACCTGACTCTCTAACACATTATCCTGATCCCAGTTTTACTGAAGGCAGATGGAGGAGACAAACTGTCCAAGAACCCTAGAGCTCCTGACAGGAGGCTCCTCAAGAAGAGTAGATACACATACAGGAAGAGATGAGGAGAAACAAAACCAGACTTGAATAGGAGAACACGTGGGGATGAAGGACAGAGCAGGCATGGTGGGCACGTGTGCTGGGGGGCCTGGGGGCAACAACCGGGCTATGGTAGGCCTTGTGGAGCCCAGAGCTCCTCTTAGGAAAATGACCCCGGCAGCAAGTAGCTCAAGAGACTGGTACTGTGTACTGCTAGTGCTCTGCATGGCCCACAGGGCTCAGGTCACACAGGGACGGAGGCAGACTCTCTCCAACTTGTACCGAACCCTCCTGACAGACACATCCTTACCTGGGGAGTCCTATAATGTGCTTTCCAACTATCTGCCAAAAGGATAGTCCTTTTAACAAGCTTTGCCATTTATAGCTTCTAGCCACATAAACATTTCCACTTAAGAACTTTCTAGGCTTCAGAAAGAACAAAACAGTCTCCCCCCACCCCACAAGTTCCACATTAGTGAAATGCCAGAGCATCTCACTACCTGATGCTCTTCTTGGTCACATTTACTCAAGGATTCTAGTTCAGGTTCTGTCACTAAGGCCTCTTTTTCACCACTTCAGGTTTATTGTCTGTAAGCTGTCCTTCAAGATCATAGACTCTTCCAAATACCAAAGGATCAATGAGGATCGACTCAGATTCTAGGAGTTCCTCACATAATCCATGTGTGGCTCTTCTACTGGTGTTGGGGACGTTAAATGGCTGTGTGCTTTGGAGGTTTTCATAATTGAAAAAAAAATCACAGTAAAACATGGAACTATTTCTTTTCTTTTTTTTTTCTTTTTTTTATTTTTTAAAGATTTTATTTATTTATTTGAGAGAGAGAGAGAGAGAATGAGAGATAGAAAGCACGAGAGGGAAGAGGGTCAGAGGGAGAAGCAGACTCCCCGCTGAGCAGGAAGCCCGATGTGGGACTCGATCCTGGGACTCCAGGATCATGACCTGAGCCGAAGGCAGTTGCTTAACCAACTGAGCCACCCAGGCGCCCAACATGGAACTATTTCTTAAGTTGTTCTACAAAGTTTCTAAAACCAGCAGTTCCTGGTTCCCCCATTCCTGCTCTCAGGGGCCACCTTTTTCTTCTGGTATTTATCTCCATTCCTTTTCTTTTTTTAAAAGATTTATTTATTTATTTTAGAGAGAAGTGAGCATGTGTGAGCGGGGGTGGGGGGGGAGGGAGGAAGGCAGGCAAAGGGGCAGAGGGAGAGGGAAAGAATCCTCGAGCAGACTCCCTGCTGATTGCAGAGCCTGATCCCATGACCCTGAGATCATGATTTGAGCCAAAATCAAGAGTTTAGATGCTTAACCAACTGGCCACTCACATATCCCTATCTCCACCTTTCTAAGCAATGTGCCTATAATAGTTCTTGAATTTTCACTTTTAGTTATTACTCGTGGTAGCACATCTCCAAACAACCCCCAATGATCCCTGCCTCCTGGCATTCACCCCCTTGCGCAGTCCTCTCCCACACTGTCTCAGGGTTGGTCTGTGTGGCCGACAGAATACAACAGAAGTGATGGTGTTACTTGAATGTATGTCACATTCACGGCTGGGTCATAAAAGGCACTGCACACTCCTTTTACTGTCTCTCCCAGATCACTCACTCTTGGGAGAGCCAGATAACAAAACATCCTGAGGAGAGGTGTATGAAAAGGAACCGAGGCTTCTTCCTACCACTATCTGAATGAGCCTAGAAGAGGCCCCTCAGCTCCAGTCAAGCCTTCAGATGAACGCAGCTCAAGGTGGCACTGGACTGCAACCTCATGACAGATCTCGAAGCTACTTTTTTTTTTTAAGATTTTATTTATTTATTTGACAGAGAGAGACACAACAAGAGAGGGAACACAAGCAGGGGGAGTGGCAGAGGGAGAAGCAGACTTCCCGCAGAGCAGGGAGCCTAATGCGGGGCTCGATCCCAGGACCCTGGGATCATGACCTGAGCCGAAGGCAGACACGTAACGACTGAGCCACCCAGGCGCCCTCTCTAAGCTACTTCTGCATTCCAAAGCTGTGAGATAATAAATATTTATTATTTTGAGTCACTAAGTTTTGGGGTAATTTGTTAGACAGCAAAAGATAACTATTATATTACCTACTTAATTCCTGTGATGGAAGATCAGGATTTTGTTCTGACACTCTCTTCACATACAACTCCACTTACTTTCTCCATCCTTCCATTATAATTATGTCCACTCTCGGTTAAATTAAGAGTTGCATTATTAGGTCTATGTGAATATTACATGTAGCCAAGCCATGATGTATGCTATGATTACATTTCCTTTCTTGTGTAATTCCCCCCCCCCCCACCGGAGATAACAATAAAGTGTAAAACTCCTTTTAATATGTTCAGTCAGGTACCCTAGCAGTATGTTCCTGCTTGTTCTGGAGGCATCCCTACTGGAATTTTGTCCTTGTAGGAATCTCACTTCACCTACATTGGAATCCATTTCCCAATGTCCATTTAGTCTTCTTCCCGATTTATTCCCTTGTTCTGATGAAAAGCATCTTCTAGCAGAGTTGCCTAAGAAAGGGTATCCTATAAACTTTTTACTCACAGCACTCTGACACCAAATGTGTGGGTTTTATTTTTCCCCTCACACAAACCAATTTTCCAACTCGCCAGACACCAACTGGTATCCTGTAATATAATTCAAATCTGGCATGAACTGCCTAGGGTCAGTGCAGGTTAAGGGCTCAGTCCCACAAGACTGCCCCTGCTTCTGATGCCAACTGCAAGTCTGGGCCACTTGTGCTTCTCAGCAATTGGCTATAAAGTCGGGGAGGGGTGAGGGTAGGAGGTGTGAGTGTTCCCCACAACTCCCTCCTCAGGTGTGATAATTTGCTAAAATGGCTCACTGAACTCAGGGAAAAGTTTGCTTACTGTTACTGGTTTATCACAAAGGATACAAAAGAACAACAGCCAGCTGAAGAGGTACATAGCATAAGGTCTAGAAGGGTCCCGAGCACAGAGCTTCTGTCCCTGTGGAACTGGGGTATACCACCTTCCCCACACGTGCCTATGTTCACCAACCTGGAAGCTCCCCAGCAGTCAAAGGGTCAAGTTGGAACTGAAAAGTTCAACCCCCTAATCACATGGTTGCCCCGGTCTGGCAACCAGGCCCATGTTGAAAGCTATCCAGGGGTCCAGAGTCATCTTATTAGCATAAACTCGGGTGTGGTTGAAAGAGGTTTCTTATGAATAACAAAGGACACTCCTCTCAGGAAATTCCAAGGTTTTAGAAGCTCTTGTGTCAGGAACTGGGAATAAAGACTAAATATTATAATAAAAGATGCTCTTATCACCCCTACCACTCAGGAAATTTCAAGGGTTTTAGAAGCTCTGTGCCAGGAACAAGGGGAAAAGACCAAATACATATTTTTTTTTTAAAGATTTTATTTATTTATTTGAGAGGGAGAGGGAGAGAGAGCACAAGCAGGGGGAGGGGCAGAGGCAGATGGAGAGGCAGACTCCCTGCTGAGCTGGAAGCCCGACACAGGGCTCAATCCCACAACCCTGGGACTGTGACCTGAGCTAAAGGCAGGAGTTTCACTGATTAAGCCACCCAGGTGCCCTCCAAATACACATTCTCATTATATCACACCATCATAGGGCATATGTGCAGTATGTCTGAATATGTCTTTGTTAGCCTTCAACTTGGGTGATAGTTTAGCTGCCTATAAAATTCTAAGTTGGGAATATTTTTTTCTATCAGAATTCTGAAGGTATTGCTCCATTGTCTTCTACTTTGTTGCTTCTGAGAAATTTAATGCCCTTCTGAACACTAACCCTTAGTATATGACTATTCACTCTAGAAGCTTTTAGTGCTTTCTCTTTATCCTCAGAGTTCTGAATTCTCACAGGGTTATACCTTGGTGTTGGTGTCCTTTCATGCATCATGCTGTCTCAATCTACAGACTTTATTTCTGTTCTGGGACTACCTTTCCATCCTATTTCTTTGATAATTTCCTCCTCTCTATTGTCTATTTTTTCTCTTCTGAAATTTCCATGAGTCAGGTGTTAGGCCTCTTAGAATGATCTTGCATTTTTTCACCTGTTCCCCATTTCCCACCTCTTTCATTTGGTCTATCTCCTGGGAATCTTCTTAAAACTTTATCTTTCAAAATTTCTGTGTTGTAGCTTTTTATAAGGCTATGGTATTTTAATTTCCAAGAGGTATTGTTTTTTGAAGGTCCCCCACCACACTTTTTTTTTTTTAAGATTTTATTTATTTATTTGAGAGAGAGAGAATGAGAGAGAGAGCACGAGAGGGAAGAGGGTCAGAGGGAGAAGCAGGCTCCCCGCCGAGCAGGGAGCCCGATGTGGGACTTGATCCCGGGACTCCAGGATCATGACCTGAGCCAAAGGCAGTCGCCTAACCAACTGAGCCACCCAGGCGCCCCACCACCACACTTTTTATTGAAAGAATCGTATTCATCTTTCATGAATGCTGTATTTTCTCTAACCTCTCTCAAGATATTATAGTTAAATTTTTTCTTTTTCTCCTCCTCCTCCCTGCTTTTACTATTTCCTCTGAGTTCTTTTTTCCCTCATTTGCTT